CCTGGCCACTGCAGCCTCGACTTGCTGGGCTCCGGAGATCCTTCCACCTCAGCCTTCCTATTAACTGGAATTACAGGCATATGCTACCACGCCCGGCTGATTTTTTGATTTATTGTAGAGATGAGGTCTCGCTGCCCAGGCGGGTCTCGAACCTGTGGACTCAGGCAATCCACTCACCTCAGCCTCCCAAAGGCGTGGGATTACAGGCTGAGCCACCGAGCCCGGCGTTGTGAATATTTCAATAAATAAATTGGTTTTTTTTTTAAGCGGCAGTTGAGTAGATCAAAGATTCTTGCCTTGTGGCCCAGGATGGCTTCAGAAGATCTGGAAACTCCTGAAATTGTGTAAGACATATAGTGTCTCTGTGCATTTGTCTGGATAGAAGCTTGAAGGTTAAGGACAGATGATTAGTAAGGTCCCCCTGGCCTGTGAGGGGGATGTCAGCTGAACCCCACAGAGGGAATGGGGAGTGGGGTCTTGGCTCTGCCTGAGCTTGGACCCCAGGATCTGGGGCAGCCGTCATGGCCAGGCCTCACTCTTGAAGTCCAGGTGAGGAAGGAGAGGAGCTGTCTGTCATAGCAGCCTCTTGTCTTCTGGCATTTTGTGCCATGAGGATGCAAGAACTTCCTAGGCACCTTGGGAAGTGCCTGCTGCTTTGGGACATGGAAATGGTCGGGGGCGCAGCTAAGGATGGTCTGGATGGGGTTTCGAAAAGCATGATGGCTTGCCTGGGAGATTTGCTCTGGGGGCCTGAGTAGTGTGTGTATATCTTTTTTTTTTTTTTGAGTTGAAGTCTCACTCTGTCGCTCAGACTGGAGTGCAGTCTGGCCACCGCAGCCTCGACCCGCTGGGCTCTGGCGATCCTTCCGCCTCAGCCTTCCAAGTAGCTGGAACTACAGGCGCGTGCTACCACACCTGGCTAATTTTTTGATTTATTGTGGAGATGAAGTCTCGCTAAGTTGCCCAGGCGGGTCTCGAACCCGTGGGCTCAGACAATCCACTCACCTCAGCCTCCCAAAGCGCGGGATTACAGGCTGAGCCACTGAGCCCGGCTATGTGTGTATAGCTTCACAGCCATTAATTGAGCATCTGTGTGCCAGTCATTGTACACTTTATTTTATTTTTTTGAGCCGGAATCTCACTCTGTCACCCAGACTGGAGAGCAATGGCACGCTCACGGCTCACTGCAGCCTTGAACTTCTGGGTTGAGGCAGTCCTCTTGCCTCAGCTTCCCAAGTAGCTGGGACTACAGGTGTGTGCCATCACACTTGGCTAATTTGTTGATTCTTTGTAGAGAGGAGGTCTTACCACGTTACTCAGGCTGGTCTCGAATTCCTGGACTTAAGCAATCCTCCCACCTTGGTTTCCCATAGTGTTGGGATTACAGGCGTGAGCCATCCTGCCCGGCCTCACTTTATAGTTTTACAAACATGAACTCATTTACTCTTTGGTGACTGGTGTCCTACGAAATTGGAACTACCAGTATCCATTTTATGCATGAGCAGACTGAGGTTTGGAGAGGGAAGGGCCTCACAGTTGACTGAGAAGCAGTGTTGGGGAGAGATGCAGCAGCAGGTTGGACACATGAGCAGGCCCAGTGGGTGAGAGGGACATCACAGGGCACGTCCCACAGCCCTTGGTTTTTCTGAAAATAGCTCTTCTTTGGGAGGCGGAGGTGAGATTACCTGAGCCCAGGGGTTCGAGACCAGCCTGGGCAACTTCGCGAGACCTCATCTCTACAATAAATAAAAAAATTAGCCAGGTGTGGTGGCACACGCCTATAGTTCCAGCTACTTGGGAGGCTGAAGCTGGAGGATCGCCTGAGCCCAGCAGATTGAGGCTGTGGTGGCCGTGAGCATATCATTGCATTCCAGCCTGGGTGACAGAGCGAGACTCTGAGAGACTCTGACGGAAACAACAACAAAGAAAGAAAGAAAAGAAAATAGCCCTTTCTGACCACCACCCCCCACAGCCTCGACACTGAGGCCAGAGGTCTTTGCTCCTCATCCAGACTCAGCGGGGACTGAGTCACACAAGTGGTAACAGTGCTTTCTGCCACCATTTTCTATCGCCCATCAGTCTTTCACTAATCTAACACGTGTACATTGAGAACCTGAGTTTGGCCAGGCCCTAGGTGAGGAGCTAGACTGACAACATGAACAAGGCTAGGTCTTTGCTCAGGGGTGTGGCAACAGGCTGGGCCCCTGAGGACCAGGGAACTGAGGGAATGTCTCCAGGCTGCGCTGCTCTCCATCTGTGACCCCCAACGTGACTGGTGTCCTGGGAGCCTCAGGCAGGGTGCAATAGCCGGTACGTCCTGTGTTCAGCCTGGGGGGGCAGGGGAGGGGACCTTGGGAGCATCGGGGTCTAGACACTTCGCGGCCTGTTGTTTGACCCAGTTCGCTTCCCAAGTGTTTGCTCAGCGACTCCCGGGAAGCCCCCCTTGGCCGGACAGGTCCTGCTCTGCCCTGAGCTGGCGCTCAGGCTTCCTTACCGCTCCCTTCTTGGTTTCCATTGAATGTCCCTTGGGAGTGATTTTCCCCTCTGTCCCCACTGCAGGTCCTCAGGGATCTGCTCCAGTTGGCAAATAAGCTCTTGCTCCTCCTAAACATCCATCTTTCCCACCCAGCCCCTCCTCCCTATTGTCGTTATGGTGAAAAATATATGCAAATCACTTTGAAAAACAGTCTGCCAGCAAACGGGTATTCAAAAACGTAATGAACTAACCCCATGATGTAATCTGGACCCCAGGACCATCCATCATGCTGAGGCGATTAAGATATGAAAAACCAGATGCTCAGACCCCGTGGCTGGAGGCGATTTTAAAGAGCTCCCTCCCACACTTCCCTTCTCCCATCCCCCCACCCCGCCCCCTCCTTCCCTGTTCTATCCCCAGCTTCTCAGCCCCTGAAACTTGAGGCCATCAGAGGTGTAGGGAACATCTGTCAGCCTGTTCGTTTCACAAATGAGATTGGAGCCTTTTGGGGTTAGGGGTCAGAACAGCTTCAGGCTCTCCTTATCCTCCCTCATCCCAGTCCACCTTTCTTCTGTGTGTTACTAGCTCTGAACCCAAGGCCCCAAACCCAGACTTTTTTTTTTTGAGTCGGAGTCTCACTCTGTCACCTATGCTGGAGTGCAGTGGCACACTCACTGCCACCGCTGCCTTGACCTGCTGGGCTCAGGCGAACCTTCGGCCTCAGCCTTCCAAGTAGTTGGGACTAAAGGCACAAGCCACCACGCCCGGTTTATTTTTGACTTATTGTAGAGATGAGGTCTTGCCAAGCTGTCCAGGCTGGCCTCGAACCTGTAGGCTCAGGCAGTCCTCTCGTCTCGGCCTCCCAAAGTGCTAGAATTACAGGCTTGAGCTATGGCACCTGGCTAAACCCAGACGTTTTTAGCTACAGGTTTCTATTTGACAAGGTGGGTGCCCCAGTGTCAAAAGCTGTTGGGACCTCACTTTTACCCCATAGGAAACATGAGGGTTGGGTTTGTGCCCTCCAAGGTTTCTCTGAGGTTTCTTAGCTCTGTGTGTCAGGACACCTATGGGTGGCTTGTATTGTACTATCTCAGGGCACAGGGCTGAGGCAGGGCGGGGAGGGGGGCATAGAAGGAGAGCCTGGCTCGAGCCCTGATATTCCTCATCTGTGTCCTGGAGGCCACTCTCCTAGGAATGGCTGAGCTTTGAGCTTCCCTACCTGTGGCCCTAGTCCAAAGGGCCCCTTTACAAGGAGTTGTCCCCCTAAGACTGTCACTGCCTGTCACTAATGAAAAAGCTGCTTAATCAGCCTCCAGAAAGGAGAAAGGACCCTCACTGCCCCCAAATTCTGCAATAACTGTCTCGAGGAGCTGGGGACACTGTCTCCTGCTCAGCTCACTCTGTGTAGAAACAGTGAGATGTGGGCAGAGTCCCCATGTCTTAAGAAGGGTTGCTGTGCCCCAAATGTGCTGCCAGGTATATCCATTCCCAAAACAAAATCACCTATCCCCTTAGGTTAACATTGCAAGTTTACAAGATGCAGACATTCTCGGGGAACAGCCCAGACCACAGTGGTGATTCCCACACTTTCTATCCGGGCCCCTGGGGAGCTTGTTAAAGGCCAGTGCCCTGCTGTGCATCCAACTGCCATCAGGTAGGTGAGGGCTGCAGGCTAGCTGTGTGTTTAATGGGCTCCCCTGGGATTCTGATGCAGATTTCCTAGGGCTGCATTTTGAGAAAGCTTGGCTGACATTCCTGGCTTAATCGGCCAGGCTGCTCACTCTCTTGCGTCACAAGAGTGTAAATGCAGGTTCAGAAGCATCTGGACGGGGGGAGGGATGCTGGCCTCCAATGATGAGCTGTAAACGGTAAACATTGCTGGCTAGATGAGAGTACAAACAGATGGATAGGACCCTTTCCTGAAGGTCAAGCACGAAGTCCTCTTGGCTTCCGATCCTTACTTGTTGCCTGTTTCTCTGATGTTAGTTTTCCCACCTGTAAAATAAGGGGCTGTCAGTGAGTTGAAGCCTTGGTGTCCCAGTAAGCATCAGAGCTAGGTGTGAATTCCAATTGTGTGATTTTGGTGAATGAGAGAACTTCTCTGGGCCTGTTAGCCATCTATATAGCGGGGCGGTAGGCGGGGCACGGTGGCTCATGCCTGTAATCCCAGCACTTTGGGAGGCTGAGGTGGGAGGATCGCTTGAGCCAGCCTGGGCAACATAGCAAGACTGTGTTTCTAAAAAATAAATAACTAAATACATTAGCTGGGCATAGTGGTGGGAGCCTGTAGTCCCAGCTATTCAGGAGGCTTGAGGTGGAAGGATCGCCTGAGCCCAGGATGTTAGAGGCTGTGGTGAGCCCTGATCCTGCCACTGCCCTCCAGCTTGAGTGACGGAGTGAGACTTGACTAAAAAAAAAAAAAAATGTGGGGCCGTAAAGTGGATACTTATTTCCTAGGGTTCATGAGGGAAATGGACAAATAATAGGTGCTCGATCTAGGTCAGGAATTATTATAGAAATGTTTTAATATATACTATTTCCTTATTTATTTATTTTTTGAGCTGGAGTCCCACTCTGTGGCCCAGGCTGGAGGGCAGTGGGCGCTCCCGGCCCCCGCAGCCTCGACCTGCCGGGCTCCCGCGATCCTCCCGCCTCAGCCTTCCCAGTAGGCCGGACCTGCAGGCGCGCGCTCCCACGCCCGGCTGATTGTTTGGTTCCTTGTC